GATTTCCACTCTCATTTTTATAATTTTCTTCCTTAATTTTGGTTTGGGACTGGTTTCTCAAGTATCTTAAGATTTCTCCTGAAGTTATTTACAGTGACATCTTGATTCATGAACTTAATTCTTTCCAAGATCCTGGTCGCAAATTAAACTGGACAATCATCAAATCAAATTCAATGGTTAGATTCAATGTTCACCTTATGAGAAATTTGATTCCATTCTCATCCAATTCAGTTTGTAACCAGAATAATGAAAAGAATTAAGTTCGTGAATGGAGATAACACTGTATTTGGGCTTGCTCTGCTTTCCAAATGTGCGCATTGATTGAAATAAAATTTCCTTTTAGAAGTGCTTTCATCGTGTGCCAGAGGTTTTCAAATCATCATCACAAACTTCCAAAAACTTTTAAATTTCTTCTTTGATTTCTTCTGTGACCCATTGGTTGTTTAGAAGTATGTTGTTAATTTTCCAGAAGCTTTTGCCTTTTCCAAAATTTCTTCTATTATTAACTTCTACTTTTGCTGCCCAATGGTCTGACAGTATGCATAGAGTAATTTCAATTATTTTATACTTAATTAAGCTGGGTATGTGGACTAATATGTGATCTACTTGGAAAAAAAAATACTATGGGCTGCTGAAAAGAATATATACTCTGCTGTAGAGGGGTAGAATCCTCTGTATATATCTAGTAGGTCCATATGTTCAAGGGTATAGTTTATGTCTGATATTTACTTTTTTGTTCTTGTTGTTTAGTTGATATCTTTGCAAAAGTGGGGTGTTGAAATCCCCTCCTATAATTGAATTAAGCATTTATTTGACAGTTTAATTTCAGTAGTTTTTGCTTTATGAAGATAGGTGCTCCAGTATTTGGTGCATAAATTTTTATCAATGTTACCTCCTCACATTGGATTGTTCTCTTAACTAGTATGTAGTGATTCACTTTCTCTCTCCTAATCAGTTTTAGCTTGAAGGTTATCATGTTTGGTATTAGAATTGCTACCCCTGCTTGTTTTCAGAGTCCTGTTGCATGAAATGTTATTTTCCATCCTTTAACTTTTAGTCTATAGTTATCTTTTTGGATTAGATGAGTTTCTTGAATGAAACAGACTGCTGGATTCTGTTTATTGATCCAGTCTGCCACTTTGTGTCTTTTAATTGAAGAGTTGTTAACATTGAGATACATTACTGAAATGTGTTGGTTACTTATTATCAGTGCCTTCTTTATCTGTTGGTGAATCCTTTGTTTTTACCACCCCCCCCATTTCTTTTTTGTTGCTGTTTATCCACTGAGCTCACTAGTTGTCTCTGTTTTAAGCTGTGTCCATTTTGTTATTTCTGTTGAGAATATTATTAAGTATTTTGTCAAGAGCTGATTTAGTACTCATATGTCTTTTGATCTGATCTTTTTCATGGAAATACCTCACTTCTCCATCTATTTTGAAGGATAGCTTTGCTGAATAAGTTAATTTGGGTTGGAAGTTATTTGCTCTAAGGGCTTGAGATACTTCAGCCTCTTCTGTCCTTTAGGGTTTGTGTTGAGAAGTCTGTTTACTTTTGAATGTGATGTTTTGTTTTTCTCTGGCTGCTTTTAAAATTTTGAAGTTTTATTTTTTGCCGAATAGTTGGCTATGCCGTGGTGAGCTTCTTTTTTCACTAAATTTGTTTGAGTTACTATAAGCATCACTTACCTGTATTTTAAACTCTTAAACTCTTTTCTTATATTTGGGAATGATTTCTGCAATATGTTAGTAAATCCATCTGTGCTAGTTTCCAGTTTTTCTGTAACTCCAATTAGCCTTACTTTGGGCTTATTGTCATCTAATAGCTGATGGATAATCTTTTTATTTCTCATTTTCTTTTTGGCTTCTTTGAGCTCTTAATCCTAATTCATTATTTTGTTTCAGTATCAGATTCTCTGTCTTAGCATCATTTGTTTTTGCAATTTATAAATTCTACACAGTTTTTTTTTATTTCAAGTATTTCTGTTTGACATCTTTTTGAGGATTCCATGTCCTTTTTTAATCTGTAAAAATATGGAATACTTCACAAATTTATGTACATTCTTGCAGAGGGACCATGATAATCTTCTCTGTACTATTCCAATTTTAATATATGTGCTACTGAAGTAAGCATCCTGTCTTCAATTTAATTTGTAATTGTGGGTGGACATAAAATTAAAGGAATTCTAACATGCAAGAAAAATATTATCTGAAACTGTTCAATTAACAACAAAAAAGTGACCAGAACTTATAATCAAATTCAACAGAAATAAAACAAATCTAATCATGTCAGTTAAATATCACTTAAATATATCCATTACACTATCAATTTTTATAATAATGTATTATTTTAGTTTAAAAGAATAACGGTCTCATGGTAAAAATGAAAACAGAAGAAAATGTTTAAATTTAATATCTTCTGACACAACTTCAATTAATTTTCTTTGCAACACAAAGAAAAAATCTAAACTTTGAAATACTGTATGTTCAAAAAGTTTACAATTATACACCAAAGAGACATATTAATTATTGGATTATTCCTTATAGAATTTAGGAAAAACTAGAGCCATTAGAGCCAAATAATTTTATACACATAAAAAAAAATCTTGTTTTTTCAGGCACTAACATCTTGACGTTTAAAACTATATATATATTAATGTATTATATATTAAATATTTTCATTATTTTGAAAGCTTTTGATGAAGAGCTCTTTTAAGGTAAAACTTCAAAAATTTAGAAAACTATAAAGATTGTGAATAGTCCTTTTTAGAAACATTTTGATTACAGATCTTTAAATGTTAGCCAGATTCTATTTGAGCATCATAGGGACACAAGGCTTTAAACTTCAACCATAGCAAAAGCAGGTTTCTATACAGGAAAACTAGAATTATGCGACTCTGAGGTCAACTCTCCTCACTGCCAAAGGTCTTCCCATATATAACCACCAAATAATGATTTCCTTCAAAGATTCTTCATATAAAGCTCTGCCAAGGAATATAATTTCAAAAGAAATTTACTTTCCATTATAATATTTTAAAAGACCAGACTAAGTAAAGATGCTTATTTTCATAAATGTTTCATAAGTATTTGGTTCTCTTCTAAAATCCTACTCAGCCATTTTTAGTGTTAATATCAATTACAATAAAGGTGACTTTGTAAAGTTATTATGCATTCATTGTGTAAGAAGGGAAAAAATGGGTACACCGAGGATTGAACATGGCTTTCATAGAGGAATTTGATCTCTGCCAGGTTTAAAGAATGAAAAAAAGAAAGTTCTTTTAGTTTAAGTAAATTTCCCATTTCTGATTACTGGCAAACAGCTCAGGTAAAAAAATTAATAATATAAGCCAGAAATTAAACATTCAGAACAATATTTTACTGGCAGAACAGATTTGATCAATTTCAAATGTAAATGTTTACACTTGATCTTAGCCAAAAGGGGGAGAAGCAATTCAAATGCAAGTGTTTAAGAAAATACATACATGTCTAATTACAAATGGTGGTTTATCTGTTTCTTTTTTGAATTCATAGGGTCCTAGATTTAAATGGGCCAGCCGCCGCCTGGTGTCTTCAGATAGCTCACACATGCGTCTTTTTGTGTAGGGAGATGGTGAATGTGATTTTGAAGAAATTGTAGGCTGTTCATAGTTTTTTGCATTTATGCAATATTTACTTCTCTCAGGTGACTTGGTTTTTTTCTTTTGTGATCTTGATGTTCTGTTTTGTGGTCTGCCATGTGATTTTTCAACTGGAGCTGAATGGTAAGTAAATTTATCCTAAATATAAAAAATAATCATTAAGTTGGGCAGATGAAGATATTTTCTAAACTCTTACCAATACCACAAATAACCTTCAAAAGGTAATTTAACTGGCACACAAAAAAACTTACCAAAGCCAACTAGATCAGTCTTTCCTTTATGTGCAGGTCTTAAGGAGGGAGGGAGGGGAAGTCAATGCATATTCTCCCACATACCTTTTCTTACTAGTTAATGAATTACATTGTAGCAAACTTGGCTCCTTAATTCCAACAAAGACTTCATGAAGATTAAGGTACATTATTTAGCCATTTTAAAAATCCACGAAACAAACTCAGGAAAAAATTTCTTCAGTATATTGAAAAAATAATGCAAACATTGGTTATTATTCATATTTAAATGTTCAAATAATTCGCCATACAATTTAAGACGACTATGCTTAGTAATGTTAAAAATACACATGTATAATTAGTTGATTATGAAATATTTTTGGAAACCTATAAAAGTAGATTTCATTTAATTACAATCACATACCATGTAAATCTCAAGAGCTTTATACCTATTTTGATGAAATATATTATTTAGATTATATAAGGCGAATAGGATTTTACAGCCCTTTCCAAGCTATAACTTTACAATTCAATTACAATTTTAATTTTGTTCCTATGTTTTTACAAGGGTAACAATGTACAAAAGATACTTTGTAGGGCTGGGAATTTGGCTCAGTGGTGCCATAAGGTCCCAAGTTTGAGCCCTGGTACAAAAGAAAGATACACATTGTAAAATTTAATAACTGGTGCTTCATCTTCTGATAAAATTGGTTTGCAGCATACATGTTTTTGAAACTATCGTACTTTTTCAATAATTCATGTGTGCTTGATAAGCACTCTGCCAGAGCTACATCTGCACCACTAAAGCATATTTTTTTTAATACCAAAGCTTATGCTGTCACGTGCCTTTATAGAGACAAATGACAAAAACTGAAATTCTAAGTCAAAATGAGAGAGTCTTACAAAAAGTTTACAATAGAAAACGTTCATTTATATGTACAAGGAAACTGCTAATGTGTAGCTTTACATTTAAAGCATTTTTCCAATGTGCTATGCACTTAGAATGTATGCACTTTTTAATGTGGATGTTATGTTTCAGACAGAAAGTTAAAAAAAGACTTTTCTACTCATCACATTAGGCATACTCCAGCATGGAAAGAAACACTGTCTGAGTCCAGGAAAAAACTTTTCTAACAATTTACAAATGTATGCAATACATATCTCAAAAACAAGCCAGTAAAATATCTTTCTGCATTTGGCAAGCATAGACTGTCAGATCACTAACGTCTGTTTCAGCTTGCGTTTAAAAGAAAAATAACAGTCTGACTAAAAAATGCCATCTTGCTAAACAAAATAAGAGTGGTTCCTTAATAATTCTATAACTAAAGCCAGGTGTGGCGGTGGCCACCTGTAGACCCAGCTACTTGGGAGACTGAGGTAGGATGAGTTTAAGACCAGCTTGGGTAACACAGGGAGACATCATCTCAAAATAATAATGATAACAACAATAATAATAATTCTATAAATGATCTTTCTTAACTCACAGTTATCATCCCCAGCAATTTTAATTACAAATTAGTAAATAAGTAAATTAAATATCCCACTCCTTCCATGACAAGTCCAGCTGTGCCTGTTTAAGTCCTCTGGGCTTTGCACATTATTGTCTCTTCATCACAGACAGGTCATTATTACCTGGTCACAGTGCAACCGCACATGAGTTATTACATAACTTATGAACAAGGTATCATAAACACCACAAGACCACCACATGACTCAGTAAAGGTGACTAGAATGGAATATTAGACTCAAATATCTTATTTTATCACTAAAGGCTGCTTTTACAAACATAGAAGGTATTTAGGCTGGAATGTTCAGGCTTCCTTTGATCTGACCTCTCCTCAGGAGAGGAAGCAACAATCCCTGAAACAATCAGAGACATTCAGGAAATCACATTCCCCACATTTTAGTCTGACAAGTTCTGTCCCATTTTCTAAAAGGTATCCTTTGATCTTTCTACATTAGCCTCTAACTTCTACATGATGTACAGAAGCCTCCAGTTCAGTTTTCTATGGACTTCTTGATCCCAATATCTTTCTCGTGGGCTAACCTCTTGCCATTAAAAAAGTAAGAACCGTGTAGCACTATCTACCAAATTATCAATAATTTTATTTTCACATTTATTAAGATGTAATCAGATGGTCAAACATCTTTGTTAATTGTTTTAGGTAAAGACTGATCATAAAATTGATAGGAACTGCAGTTAATGAAGGGAGGGCAGGGGTAAGGGGAAAAAATGAGAATCAAGAGTTGTCATGTAGAGGTACTAGATCCCAACAATGAATGTTAACTGTACTGTATCCCTAAAATGTACCAATACACTCAATTAAAGCTGAAAAAAGAAAAGAAAGGATAAAGCTTTCCAAAGGGTCATAAATATGGACAAATCAATCAAACTATAAAATACATTAAATAAATAATTTTAACCTGAATATGGCACTTCCTTGAACTTATCAGACATTCAGTAATCACTGACGTTGTAGAAAATTCCAGCTTTGGAGCAATTCCCTGGAAGTGAAAAAGAGGATAATATCAGATATTTCCTTTTACAGGGAGGTAATTATTAATGAAGAGAATGTGATCTAAAATGACAAATACTTGTCCAGGTTCAGTGCTGCACCAGTTAGTTTGCACTTCTTACTAAAGACAACGTAGTAATGCTAAATCCTAGCTAGAATCTGTTTTAGTGATGAATGCTTAGGAGTGATTATTTGCAGAATTAAGTTTTTTATTATTTTCAAGTGTTTCCCTGTCAAATTATTTTAAGATTTTAAAATTATGATATACTATGGTCATAAATATATGAACATACTTAATGGATTTCAGCTTTTACTTTTACAACTTAAGATATATTTCACTATATGGCCAAGAAATAAACACCTTAATCAGCTTGACATAGCCATTTCACAATGTATATATACACCATAATTATGTACAATATTTATCTAATTAAATTTCTTTTTCTGGACTAAGGATTGAACTCAGGGGCCTCAGGCTGAGCTACTTCCCCAGCCTTTTTTCAGCTTTTATTTTTTGTGAGATGGTCTCACTAAGTTGCTTGAATTTATGATCCTCCTGCCTCAGCCTCCCACAGTTCTGAGATTAGAGATGTGCACTACCACACCTGGCTTTTGTATGCATTTTTTGAAAACAGAAGAGAGTGTCTACTAAGTCACCTAACATTTTCTCCCGTCTTGTAGCTTGCATTCAGATATAGGAAGGAATCTGGCTTCTACTTCTAGCAATATTGCAATCATCAGGTTGGATAGTGTTTTGAGACAAGTGGAAGCAGTTCAAAGGGTCAGTCACAAAGTAACTCAGAAAATATTTGAACGCACATATGTTAAACACACACCAAAATATTAAAGAATACATCTGTGCTTACAGCAGTTTCACTGTAACAGAGTGGGAATCAGACTAACCAAGGCCTCCACATTTGTCTTCCACAAACCAAGCTTGTGGCTGAGTGTAAGGATTCAAATATCACAACTATTACATAAGAGATAACTCTGAGTTGCTTCAGAATTAACAAAAGTATTGTTTTTATGCAATCACGTATTTTAATGATATCCACTAGCATGTCTGATTATTACTTGTCTAATACTACATAACACACCATTGCAAAATTTGGCAGCTAAAAACATCAGTAAACACTATCCTACATAGTTTCTAGGGGCTGGAGTCTGGCATAGTTTCTAAGTAGAGCTGGGTATTTCTGGCCTGGAATTTCTCACGAGTGTAGTCAAGACATCATTTGGGCTGCAGTCAACGGAAGGCTTCATTAGGGCTTGGCAATTTGTTTCCAAAGATGGCTTATTCACGAGACTGCTGGGTGAAAGTTTCAGTTCCCTTCTAGTTTTGGACAAGAGGGCTTACATCTTCATCACATAAACCCTCTCAGTGGGCCTGCTGTATTAGTCAGCTTTTCTACCACTAGGAAAAAATACCTGACATCCACAATTTAAAGAGGGGTTTCCCCCACGGTCTGGGGAAATCCAGTCCACGGCAGAGGAAAGCTGGAAGCCAGGAGGCAGAAGGGAAAAAGAGAGGAATGGGGGGAAAACTACACCCTCTAAGGTTGTGGCCCAGTGACTCACCTCCAAATTCTAACAGCACATTCAGCTATGAACTCATTAGTGGATAATGCTCTCATGGTTCAAAAAGCTCCAACTGGGAACACAGACTTTCAGGGGGCGTTTTAGATCTATACCATAACAACTGCTGAATGTCCTCAAGACATGGTGACTTGTTTCCCCATGTTGAGTGACATAAATCAAAGCAAGAAGACAGCCATAATGACAGAGTCTCCAAACATTCTCTTCCATCCCATTCTTTTCATTAGTGTCATTGAATATAATCCATATTCAAGGGCAAAAGAAGTGATATACCTTTCCAATGGAGAAGAATCAAAAAATTGAGTACACACATGCCTCACAAGTGCAAGGATCTGAGTTTGATCCCCAGTACCAAAAACAACAACGACAACAACAAAATTGAGCACAAGTTTAAAATCATTTTCTCTCTGACAACAAATTATTTACATTTCTCTTACATGCAAAGCACATTTGTGGCTTATTAATGGAGGAGGGGAGGGAAGACAGGGGAGGAAGGGGGGCAAGGAATCTCATCCTTTTACAGTATCAGCTTGAAATCCAGGGTATCTTTTCCATAAAGTTCTTCAGGTACAGGTCTTTTAGTAGAGCATCTAGAATACAGTTCTTCATAATCACAAAACACATGCACTAAAGAGACAAGTTACCTACACTACAACATCCAGTGTGCACATATGCAGCAAACACAAGACAATCATGATAGATATTCCTGTTTAAAAGGGAAAGAAAAGGTAAACAGGAAATCATGGATCCACAACAATCTTTAAGTTCAGCCAGAGAAATGTTGGAAGGCCCTTGATTAAGGACTTACTCCTATTACTGCTCAGAATAATCATGGTTCTTGCTTCAACATTTTAGGCTCTTCTTCCACCTTCTGAATCATAATTCCTTTGAAAGCTGAAGTAGACTATCTGGAACTGTACAGGGTTCTGAGCTTAGTTCGGTTGAAATAATACTAAGAGAACTTTTCACTCTGTAAAGTCTTTTACCACTCAGGCCAAACTGCCAGTGCGTCTATCAATATGCAGTAACCCTTAAATTTTGGCTACCATGTGAATTATACTGGAATTGGCTCTATTAGAAGCTACGCAGTTTTGTAAAGTGGGCTTCTTCTAAGATTGCTGACAAACACAGAGCTTACACATATTAGAAAACCTATGTCTGATTAAATGATTTTGTACGTATGGCAACATGTTAGATCTCTCTGACATTCTGATGAAAGATTGACAGTTGTGCCTTCAGTTTTACTGTCAGACCACAATTTTCTGGAAAAGGCCTGGAATAATTTTTACTCAAGGGTCATTTCTTACTCTTAGCACTGTGCGTCAGTGGGAAAGGTAGAAAACCATCAGAACACAAAGTTTCAACTTCTTTTTAACAGCCTTTCCTGTTGCTTCTTTCTACCCTCCCATATTAGCATAAGGAGAAAAAAAAAATAAACCAGGCAACTCCTCTGACATCAGAAAGCCCCTTTGGACAGAACACCTGTTTCCCTTTCTTCTATTCCATTTTATTGAAGGTGACTGTGTTGCTAAACTTTCTGTCATTACATAACAACAACTCCATTTTTAATTCATTTTCAATAACATTTACTACACTGTCCTGCAAATGCTTATCTGACAGTTTCCATGAGGATCTTCAAGCTTTCATGGATACTCTCACAAAGTGTTTTATCACATCGCTGCCTGAACTTTCACTTAACACTGCAACCCTCCCCATATACCGCTGGTCATATAGTAAGTAAGGATCACAAAGTCCTTCCTGCTTCTGTCCTCTTCATAGAACTGTTTATGTACCCTTATGCAGAACACTTCTCTTCCACTGGAGTGAGCAATCCAAGAGTAAAGGACGTTGCAAAGCTTATAGTGACCTGGTCTCAGAAGTCTGTACCATCACTGTGTCACATTATGTGTTAGTCACTAAGTACAGTGACTGAACGGGAGTGGAACTAACTCTTCCCTTGGATCAAAAAATTTCTGAACATACAGTTATGTATCACTTAATAATGGTGATATCCTCATATACATATGTTATCAGGTGATTTTGTCAGAGTGTAAATGTCAGAGTGTACTTACCCAAAGCTGGATAGTACACATCCAGCTCTGTGACATAGTAACCATTGTATATGTATGCATCCTTCATTAACTGAATAGTGTTATGGACTGCATGACTGTATTTTATTATACTTTTACTGCTTGAATTCAGGCTTAACACCTTAGATTTCCCCATGTATAATACACACACACACACACACACACACACATATTTAATTATCTTACTGAGTTTATTGGTACTTTTTAAGTGTACAGTACAGTTACATTCATCATTGGGATCCTGTACTTTAACATGACAGATCTTGGTTCTCATTTTTTCACTATACCCTGCCCTCCCTTCAAATCCTCCACTCTCCCCTATTTACAAAGACTTTGCTTCCATATTTTCCTTTTCTCATATTTTTCTTCTCCCTTATTTCCTTTCCCCTACCCTTCCCACTTCCCCTACACCTTTAGCCTTTTTCTTCCTATTTCACATTATCAGTTATAAAATCTGTACACAGTTATACAATTTATACTTTTAGTTTTTCACACCAGAGAAACTATTCGGTATTTACACATGTGTGACTTACTTATTTCACTCAAGAGTATGGCCTCACTATGCATTCATTTTCCTATGAATGACTCCAGTTTCTCATTTTTTATGGCTGAGTAGAACTCCATTTTATAGAAAAACCACATAGCTTTCCCTATATATTGCTGATCATATAGTAAGTACTAAATACTTTACCCATTTTACTGACTTTTCAAAGCCCAGCTGTATTGTTATGGGTTTTCCAGAGAAAGAAAAACAAAAGAAATATATATTTAAAAAAAAGATTTATCTTAAGAAAATATGTACCTTAAGATGGCAAGTAGAAAAATTATAGGGCAAGTGGGAAAGTCAGGGAAAAGTTGCAATCTTGAGTGTGAAATACATTAGTAAAATTAATCCTCAGGTAAAAATCTCTGTTACAGTCTATAACTCAGTTTGTTTTATCCCATTTGTCAGTCAAATTCCAGTGTGCTTAAGTTGACAGTGCCAGTTTTACCTAGTTCTGTTCTTGTTTTGTATGGAAGAAAGAACTTTCACTCTTCAAACTGTAAATATTTGAAGTCCTAATTTTTATATTTTTTTGCCTGAGTAATACATCCTCCAAAAATATGTAAGCAATACAAATAAAATGATGAAAGATGAATCCCTATTAATATTCCAATCATTTGAGTTTATATTGCCATTTTGGTCTAATGTACCATTATTATTAAATTACTATTAAGAGATCATAAATTTAAAATATGATTATTTCTTCACTGTAGGTTTCAACACTGCTCTTGGAGTATTCTTTAGAACTTCTCTAATACAGAAGCTGGCTAATGGATACTCAAAATATCCCAAAGGATGAATATATTCATAGATGTGCTAGTCAACTTTTACATTATCATTCAGGATAAGTTTGCTATTTTTTTGAATAGCGCATATCATAGATCCTACTTAGATTTATGGGAAAAATTTCTTAATTCATTATATTGACTCATATATCACCCCACTTTCCTTCCTCAGACTACTCTACAATTTTATAAAATCAGCTTAAAAATATTTATCCAAATACTTTCTAGCTAAACAACTTTCACCTTTCTTCCTTTTCCCTTGATCTTAGCCAAAAGGCCAAGAAGTGATAACTTTCTTCCTTAGAACACTAAAGGTTTCTGTGTCAGTTTCCCTAAGAGAAACTCTTTTTAGAAATAAAAACATTTTGAAATCATCTAATAAACTTGAAAAAAGTTGTAGAAGAGAATGGGGCAGTAAGCTGTTACTTGATGTAATTTTAAAATTTAGGTATAAGAATGTATACTTCTGTTCCTTAAACATTTTACAATTAATCTCATCACACTCCTAATGAAAGACACTTTAATTTTTAAAAATTTTCACTGTTATGAACAATGATTTAAAAATAACATTCTGAAGAAAGCTCTTAATATAACAGTGAAAATACATTTAATAACTAGAGGATCACATCTCCTGAGAATCTGTCTTTACTAAACAATTCTGAAATCTGCTGTGTTCCAACATACAAAGCAAAGCAGCATACAACAGTTTCCAATGTTTTTCATTTTGATGTTAGATTTGTTAAATATTGCCATCCTGACAGGTATAAAAACAAAATCTTATTTTTTAATGTGGATTTCCCTAATTGCGAATGAGACAGAGTACTTTTCCAGTGTTTGTTGGTCATTCCCTGGAAGAAGTACTAGACAGAGACAGAGGGCATGGAGATGAGGAAGCGAAGAGAAGGAGAATAGAGAGCTGAAGACTAAAAGGCACCATAACTCATGTTAATTTTGGATGATATGTGCATGAATTTTACTGTTATTTTCATTAAATTTCAGGATGTTTACAATTGTACACCTTCATAAACAACTTTGAAATTAAATTATACTTTGAATTAGTTCTTCACATTTGAGGTGTTGTTGAGGATTATGCGGTGGTTCTTGACAATGATCCTGCATCAAAATCTGATTGAGAAAATACTAAGAAAGCACTTACTCGTAAGCCAGAAATCCTCCTCATGGTAACCTGGCGGTTTGAATCATGGTGTCCAGAAATTTGATTTGGACCCGGGAACATGAAATCTCGTGTGTTTTCTTCATATGTAGACAGTGTTTCACCCACTACAAGAAAGATACCCTATTATTCAAATTATAACAAAATAATCTATCTAGAAAAAAAATCAACAAGTATAAATATGTTCTGCCTGACGCCTTATTGAGTACCTGTTTTAGGGCCATGTTTATCACCTACAAAGGAATATCGAAATAAATGAATTTCAGTATTAAATGTAACAACATATTTTCATTTTCAGAAACATATTATATATTGGTAATTCTTTGCTCCCCCATCCACCCCTGACCTTTTAGTGAATGAGAATAATCATGTTAATTAAATGAGTAACTATGAGTTCCTATAAATGTCTATTTAAATATATAATATTAATATGACATTTACCCATCCAAATTTTAGCACTATCTCTGCAACTTTTTCTAGCTCCCATTTTTTCTATCTGCCATTATAAAATATAAGATTATGTGCCAAAAATAATTGATGTATTTATAGAATTTGTGGCTACCTGAACAAGGTATACATGTAATATTTAAATACTTCATACTAGCATTTAATAAAATATAGTGCTACTTTTACATAAAATCAGGACTTACAATTTCTTCTGTAATCACAGAAATCAATACAAGAAAGCTAGACTCTATATTTTAATAGTCTATGTGCTCTAGGGATCTGTAACATTTATTATATGAGTAATGTTCTATTCCTCTCTATTACCAATAGTCAACACACAAAAACACGAAATAACTACTATATCAATAAAAATATAGTTTTTGAAAATCACAAAAAGTTAAAAATCAATTTTAGCTGTTACAACATATCCTTAAATGAAAATATGTTCTTTTCCACTATGATATATCAAGCTTCATTATGCTAGTCTTTCCATACATATTATTTTGATCTCCTGCTACTTTGAAATAAACCACTGGTAAAATATCAATGCTGTTCTTAATTTGGAAAGAGGAAGAAAAGATAAAGAGTTTAGAAAAACATTTCATTGAAACGATTTGCCATGTCAATCCCTTTACCAGTTTTTAATACGGTACCTGGTGGAACTAGTTGTATCAACTCAAACACTGCTGTGTCATCTGAGAGTTTAAAGAAAAAAAGTTTAAGTAAATAAATTAATAATAAAACATAAATTACTTTAAAATCCAAAATAATCACTGAATAAAAAATATGAATACTTATATCTTAGTAAACTATGTCAATTTTATAAATACAGATTAAGTCTACAAATCTAATTGGTAAGTATAGTTAAGTGTACTTAAAACTCCTTATACTTTTAAGGTGTGAGACATTTTATAAGAAATTTATAAAAATAAAAAAAATATACACAGGAAAGTGTCTACCCATGGAAAATATATAAACCCTTCCTTGAAATTCTGCCACTTCCAACCAGTGAAAGTCTCAGTCATTCAACCTTTTACCTATTTTTTAATCTATGAAGAAAGACTAAATACTCCCGTTAAGTCATAACTTGGGGCTATAATGCAAAAAAAAAAAGTAGATATGACCCTTTATCTTAAGAACCTTGAGTTCCACTAGGAATATTTTATTAAATGAAATATAAAATAAATATTACCTATTAACTGAAATAGAAAAATAAATGAATACGTAATTACAAAATACAAGTATAATGAGGGCATCGCAGATAGTGCTCTGAGATAACGTAAGAATAAGACCTAATACAGTTAGGCAGCCAGGATTTCTCTGAGATAGTGCTGCTTCTTATTACCTAAGCTACAGCAGGAGTAAGTATTCTAAACTGCGAGTTAGGGGCAAAGGAAATAGTTTTCCAAGCAGAAAGAACAGTATACGAAAGGCTCTAAATATAACACAACAAGGTAATCTGGGAGATCGGGTAGTGCAAAAAATAGACTTCCTGCTAAAATCAACTGGAAAAAGTAGACAACTAAAAAGTCTGCTTGAAGGCATGGGAGACCTAAGAAAGCACTTCAAAAAAAAGTGTAAGTCTGAAATGTGATATAAGAAGAAAATTCAGAGATATGTGCATTTGAGGCTGATTTTCCCTGCTGGTGTCACAATGCACACAGAAGCAACTAAGAATAACTTCTGATCCACTCATAAAGTAGGAGATAAAAATTGGAATATCATAGCCTTGGAAAGAGGGAAGAGAGTTCTAGAAATAAGGTGGCCTGATAAACTGGCTGGACTATAGGAGCATGGAAAAGAAAAACATAATTGTAAAGGTTAAAGCAAAAATCGTTGGCACCTTAGAATTAGCACACAAATTTGATGTATCCCAAATCCTGTCTGAATTAAGATAACCCAGATTTGTTAATGTCCCCTACCAATCTAACAAAAACAATTACCAATCTTAGCTAAAGAAAAATATCTACAAATAAGACAATTATTTCTAAAATGTTTACAGAGTCTGACATTCAAGCAAAATGAACTGGACATATAAGAAAACATCCAGGAGAAGTTATAGGAAATAAAAGCAGAACAACAGAAGATCCAAAAAAATGGGACTCAAAATTTGCTTAATCTGACTTCCAGTTTTTAGTTTGGCACTTAAGGAGTTTGTAAATCTTCACATTACAGAGCAAAAAGCTAAGTCAATCAAAGGAAAAATAATATTTAGAGTAATTGTATCATGAAATATACCCAAATGAATGTCATATATCAGAGATCCAGGAGGCTTATCGGCCACCACCTGGAATAAATGGTCAAAAAGAATTGCACCTAAGTATATTATCTTCAAACTTCAGAAGTTCAAAGATAAAAGAAAAATCTTGCAAGATTGGAAAAATACCTAAGCTATAAAAGAACAAGCATAAGAATTATATATCTGACTTCTCAGAAAACATGCAAGTAAGAATGGAGCAAAATATGTAAACTGTGGAGAGGAAAAAAAATCAGTCTTCCATAATCTTATAAAGACTTGCAACCAAAAACCTAAAGTAAACATGCCAAGTGGACAAGTTTGAAACTTTCCCTCTGAGGTTAGAAATAAAACATTCACCTCATTCATTGTTACCACTGTTATCATTCACATCAACACTTTACTGGAGTGCTGAGCAGTGTAACAAAGCATAAAAATAAAAGGCATCACAATAAGAAAAGCTGTAAGTCTTTTCATTTAGAGATAATGTGATTGTACAGGCAAAATGCCCAACAGAATCTCTTAAGCTAATGTACATGGCATGGTTGCTGGAAACAAATTTAATATGCTAAAGCTACATGTATTTATGTACCAGCAACAGTTAGAAATGATATAATCTGATTTAAAGGTATAAAATACTTTTAAAATATTGAAAAAACAGCTGAAGACTTTTAAACAGAAAATTATAGGTATTATCAAATGTTTTTAAAGAGCTAGTATGAATAGTACATATTGCTTGAAAGACATCAATTGCAAGGTATCCCATTTCAAACAAAAAAATTTAAAATTATAAAATAGTGGTATATTTGAGAATATTAAGAAATTGTTCATTTTTTATGTGTGATATAGGATTATTCATATAGTTTAGATATAGTTATCTGTAAATAAGAGCATAGGATATCTGAAGTTTGCTTCAAAGCAATCCAGATCTGGCACTTAATTTACGACAAAGTAAATACTACAAACAATCAAAGGGTCTTTCAAAAAATGGTACAGCTCATTTAGATATACCTCTAATAATACAGTAATTTTAGTTCTATTTTATTTCACATCATCCACCAAATAAATGCAATGGATTGACTATAAAACCAAATGTGAAAGATAAAGGAACAGTGATTCTAAAAGATTATGTACATGTTCATAGTTTGAGGTAGAGAAAGATTTCATAAACATGAGCAAAAGAGAAATAAATCAAAAAGATTAATAAATGAATACACATTATTAAGCCAGACTATATTAAAAGCAATGTTTATCCAAAAATAAGAACCTTTAATAAATTAAAAATGCAAACCACAAATTGAGAAGATATTTGCAACACATAACTGCAAAAAGCTCCAAACTAAAAATATAGAATATTCCTATCAAGAGAGAGAGAGAGAGAGAGGAGAAAAAATAGCCTCATTTTTTTCTTGAGGGAATGTAAAATAAAATAACTGTTCACTCTGCTAATGACTAAAATTTAAAATTCTGGCAACACCTGATGTCTACAAGAATGTGGAGAACAAGAGTGCATATTAATACAGCGAAGCTGGAAAACTGTTTGACATTATCTACCTGTGTCAATTGTAAACTCAGCAGCAGTTCCACTTCTATGTAGACCCCAAATAAGAGTGCTCATGAGCACACAGTATTCACGGCAGCAATACCCATAACAGCAAAAAGCAGAAATAAATTACTCACTCATCGGTGTTCAGAAATAATAAAGTTCAACTATATTCAAAAAATGAAATATTATATAGCATACAGATGAGTGAATTATAGTTGCAACAGATAAATTTTCAACAAAATGTTAAGTAAAAACATTGCAAAACAAACACAATGCACATTGTATGATTCTATTAATTTATTTTCTTAAAGTAGACAAAATAAACTACAAAATGAGTCATTCAGATGGAAGTTCTTTTGTGGAACAGAGAGGAAATAGAGATTGGGGGGCAGGTAAAGCATAGCTTTCTGGAGTTCTAGCAATCTTCTATTTCTTGAGGTAAGTTGTGGTTGCACAAGTGTTCACAGTGGCATTTCAATGAGCTGAATGCATAATTGGGTTTTGAGCAATTTTCTATATATGTGTTAAATTCTATACCAAAAACTTTAAAAATTATTAATGAATGCTTATAAAGACAGTAGATTAAATGTATACGTAAATTTTCAGCCCCTTCTGAACTTTCACTAATGTAATAATGAAAAGACCACACATACACACACACACACACACACACACACACACATGCATACCAACTTACAACAACAAAACAGAACAGAGTGATACAATGTGAAAAGTGGTAACTGAGATAACAGGAGAAAGAATCTTAAGCCCATAAAGAGGAAAGCATAGAAGCAACACATTTTATACTGGGTAACTCTACAGATTTACTAATGTGCAGTGCGGGCTGCCTATGAAAATAACAGAATCAACGGGCTACAACACAGCAAAACAGTCAAACCCCCAGGTCCTACCTCTGTCAGAAAACTGCCTTTCTCTACATCAAGGCAGGTGACTAGAAATTTATTCACTAAAGTAGTAAAGAGAAAAAGGTTACCGGAATGGAAAGAGTAGGTACAGTGTATAAAACCACATAGATGAAAAGTCAGGACTACATACTCAGATTTTACTATTGCCTTGTCCTTTATAGGATTCTAAAAGACTGTCAAGCTTATTATAGCCTCTGGGAACAAGATATGAATGATTTTCCTACTGAATATGACCAACCCAAGAGAAAAAAAAGAATGCTGACATCCTAAAATTTCCAATAAAATAGCCCAGAGAAAGCACTCTACATTAAAATTCACATTGGCAATCTCCACCCAGGAAGAGTCTTTAACAGACTTAGCAATTACTAGTGTCAGGCAACTCTGGCACATAACTTTCAAAAGCATTTTAGTCCTCCACTGTTAAATATGAACACTTCACCAACCATGTGAGGTATCCTCCAAGATAGAAAACTCCTGGAACTCAACAACAACAAAAAGCAAATTATCCAATTCAAAAATAGTCACTGAACTTGAATAGACATTTCTCCAAAGAAGATAAGCACACAAAAAGATTATCAGCATCACTAATCATTAGGGGAATGCAAATGAAAATTAAAATACGGTACTACTTCACATGCAATGGGATAGCTACTATCATTTTCCAAAGGTAAATATTAAAACAGAAAATAGCAAGTATTGGTGAAGAAGTAAAGAAATTGGAAACTTTGTGCAGAAGAAGCAAGGAAGCAGGGGCTCTAAGGAAACTGCCACTTTTCCCTACATGCAGGAGTATAGTGACATCTCATAAGCTACTGTGATATAAATAAAGGTCATATCTTTATGCAAATGTTGAAGGGAACAAGGCCATAACAGCTATTCTATTATAAATTCTCAAATAAAAAATACATTCCTAATCAAAAGATTATGACACTACAGTTATTTCTCAAAACAGCAAAACTAAAGCTAATATATTTTGTGGAAGACTGAATATAGTCCCCCCTAACATCAGAACAATGCAGGAATATTTACATTCACCACTTCTAGTCATTGTACTGCAGGCTCTATGCCAGTGATCGTGAATCTTTTAGAGCTTGCAGTTTTACAAACATCCCACTGCACGCAGCACATGTGCCATCGGTTCACCACCACTGTGGTATGCAGTGAAATTACAGAGAAAAATTAAAGGTATAGGGTTTGCAAGTCAAAAAGTAAAATTCTCATTCTCAGACCATATAATTCTGCATATAAGTCATCAGAGGGTAAGTACCACATGAAGGCAAGTCTTTGGAGGATATTGTTTAAGCAGAGAGCAGAAGTGAAGTAAAAAGAGTTAGAAGAGCTGTTCACATGTAGCTAGCACCTGTGAGATCCTGGGTTTGGTCCCTCGCAAGACAAAGATGGTAAAAAAGGATACATTTCAGAAGTATATCACAAAAGTGGAACAGTAGATGAATATACAGACCCAACAGAAAAACTAAAACAGAAAATTAAAGAAAATTTCCAATTGATAACTACTAAGCATTCTTGTAGCTCTAAAATTTCAAGTCAAATGGAAAGAAAACCATTATTTTTAACAGAAAAATTTCAAAATGAATGAAATTGCTATCATTTTTCTAAGATATGCCATTTTTCCGATAATAAACAAGATGTTTAGCAAATATGAAAATCTATACACCCAGTAGCTCCAAACTGTCACCCAGCTCGTCTTCCACAGTGGAAACTGTAAGCGCTAGACTACCTCTAAAATAACAAGATATTGGCACAGGCCAGGAAGAATTCCTTAGAAAAAAGTCACTAAGCTGTTACTCCACGAAAATTCACAACTGGCTGGCCTGTTTCCTCCCTAAACTCTGGTCCCAGCATGGTGCCAGGTTCCGTGTTTCTCCTGCATTTCTACAGTACCAGTGGGGTGAGGAGTGGGAGTGGTGTGACAGGGACAGTTGCTGATGAAGAAGGCCAATACTGTCTGCCTTATGGATCACAGTTTTATAGTAGACCAGTCTTGCGGTCCTAATTATAAGGACAAATCTCCAGCGCTTGAATACTATTTCAAGAATAAACTTTTGTAGTGCTGCTCTCACAAGTAGTTGTATTTTTTCTATTCCTACTATTATACTTTGAAGAATTTACCTTGAAAAAAAGTCTCCTGAAATAATTTATCAACATACGTATATTTTAAATTGCCATTATTTTGGTCTTTTATTGTTCGCATCCTTGATTTGCAAGTCACTCAGGTTAAATACGTTTGCTGCACAAAGTTCCACCCAGCAATAAGGCTGTATCCTTACATCAGAAATAATCTGCTCCATTTTGACCCCAAAAAAGTTTAGCAATTCTTCCTTTCTTTTCCATAGAAAACAAAATAGAATAATTCTGAGGAATAATTCTCAGCCTCTGTGCAGCAAAAAAAAAAGTATTATTTTTAGGTATACTTTTAAAGTCTAAAACAAGTATAGAAGCAGTCCTAGCTGAAGATTTTTAAATTCTATCAGACTCTTTAAAGCTTTTCTTTAACCTGAGTAGTTAAGAACATAAAGATGATAAATTCTAAAACGTCTTAGGATCATAAATCAAAAAGTTAAAAACTTACACTCAAGTTGTGCAACCACATCTCCAGGGTCTACTGCTTCTGGAAACACCTATAGTAGGAGCAGATAGGGAGAATCAAGATGGGGAAGAGGAAGGAAAAGAGCGAGACACATATGACAATCTTTGTCTTTTTCCTCTTCATTACAAAATACCATTCCTTTCCCAACCAATGAAACCTCTGAGGGCTAGGGATTTAGCTCAGTGGTTTCACACCTGCCTCACAAGTGCAAGGTCCTGAGTTCGATTCCCAATACCAGAAAGAAAGAAAGAAAGAAAGAAAGAAAGAAAGAAAGAAAGAAGAAAGAAAGAAGAAAGAAAGAAAGAAAGAAAGAAAGAGAAAGTAAGAAAGAAAGAAAGGAAATTCTGACATTAGCTAGAACTTTCTATTCCTTTCTGCTAGCCATGATTACTATCAAAGATTTTATAAATAAATTTTATGGCTGGCTCTATCTTCCTCTCAAACTTCATCTGTTAGCACTCTTCCCTTGGTTACCCAGACCGTATCAGCCTTCTTGGTGTTCCTCAAACTCGGAAAGCAAACTCTCACCAAGAAGCCTTGGAGTTTGCTATGTCTCTGCTCGGGATGGTTCTCCCTTAGAAATGACGAACCTTTTAGAGACAAGGGCCAAACTGCAGCCCAAAACACACTTAACTATCACAAAGTGCCAACCCTGCAATTAAACCTAAATACTGAAGTTTTAGTTTAGAAAAAAACAACTACTAATTAACAACTTTTGTCACAAAGGAAAAACAACACTAGGGCCGTAGGATTGCTACCTGTATCAAGCAACTGATACAGTCTGATGAATTAGGCTCAGTTTGAACATTATTACCTTTTCTGACCACTCTTTAAAATAGATAATTCAGCTCAACCCTTTACCTTACCTTTGTTCCCTTCATGCACTCATTAATTTCCAAAAGGGGAGGAATTTGTCTAATCTGCCATCTGTCCTCAAGGCCTCCAAAAGCCTATGGGGAAAGAGGCAGTACTGCATAGCTATTTGGGCAGAGAAGTCTTCCTCACAAGGAATGGGGAGGAGAAGAACAGGGGAAGGAAAGGGAGGGGAGAAAAGAAGGGAAGTGAAAAGGGAGGGAGAAATACATTCGGTAATAACCAAAAACAGTAGTCTCAGGGAAAACAAAGAAAACAGACTTAAAGAAATACCACAAACATGACAAATTCTTACCTTTGATGACTTCTCTTTGTTGTTTATGAAAATTATTATTCAGAATTCAAGGGGGCTAAGTTTTACTACCTAAAGTCCACTAAAATAATTTTAGAAAAAGCTAATTTCATCAAGGATAAAAATACAATTGTTCTTTGGTAATATAATATATAAACATTTTCAAAATTCCAGATTTAAAGTACAACTTTTCTTTTGAATTAAATCAAAGCACAGAGTGGGCAATACTAATTTGTATCATGAGATTTCATTAAAAAATGAGGACCAGTTTGACTGTTCATTTTTCATACTTGATCTGATATTTGAACTCACCTTTTCAAACACCATTCTGGCATTGAAGACCAGTGGAAAGGTGGCTGGGACACATTGTGTCTTTTTGTATTGGCCAAACACACAGATGCTAAGATAGATGTCCTCCTTGTCTTTTAGCACCACTCCTGGACAAGTTACCTAGAAGAAAATAAATAGATAGATAGATAGATAGATAGATAGATAGATAGATAGATATAAGTGCTTTATAAATTCTCTGGATTATCTTACAAAAATAACATCATATGTTACATAAAACAGGTCTGATAACCTAATAAAAATACTCAAAAATAAAAAGAGATACATATTCTACTGTTTACAAAGTCGACTGAAACACACTTGTAGTTTCCATCCCTCTGAGAAATCTATAATTTTCCATTTGGTTATTTGTGTCATATTTGAAGCTCCAAACACTGGCTCTTGGGACAGACACAAATAATTTTAAACAGTCAGCCTAAGGCTCCCACTTTATAGTGAACGCTGACATAAAGTTATTCAACGTCATTTAATCTCAAGGGATTAACACTCAGCAAAAATAAAACATTATACTCAAGGACAAAAAAAAAATGCTGATGAAAAGCACAAATCTGATCTCGATTACCTAAATAGGAATCCACACATACCCTCATCAAAAGCAATATGTTAAAGTTCCAAGGATAGTGAACTGGAAGTTTCTAGCCCAATGAAATAATTTTAAATATTAAATTGTACTTAATTATTGTTACAATTTGGGGGTTTTTTTTTTGGAGACAGGGTCTTGCTATGTATGCCAGGCTGCACTTACTATGAAGCCTAGGCTGGCCTTACTTGAATTTACTATGTATCCTAGGCTGGCCTTCAACTCTCCACAATCCTGTTTCAGCCTCCTGAGTGCTGGGATTACAGGTGTGCACCACTACATCTGGTTTATCATTGAAATTGATGGAAAGTATACTCAGAAAATACATGGAGTTTCTCAATAACACATAGTACAATCTCTCCAATCCCTGCCGTATTCCATTGCTAGCAATGAACTGCATCCTTAACAGGATATTAGAAGTTTCCTAAGATTTTGAGTCCAGTATAACAATATTACAAACAACCCTAACCCAAATAGTATTTACTGTTCTTTGAGAAAATGAAAAAATGGAAATGAAGTGTTTGTAAATGGGGAGGGGAGAAGGGGGTGAAGGGAGGGCAGGGACAAGGGGAAACAATGAGAACCAAGACCTGTCATGTAAAGGTACAAGATCCCAATAATGAATGTAACTGTACTATATACCTAAAATGTACCAGCAAACTCAATTAAAATATATGTATGTGTGTGTGTGTGTGTGTGTGTGTGTGTATGTGTTACCATCTAGATGTTTATCCAAATGTAGGAACATATCTGGATTAGAAAATGTTAGGCTCTTGAGACCCTTTCCTAAAGTACTAGAAGGACTCACAAAGGAAACTTTGCTCATTAAGAAACTAAGAGTTGAACATTTTTTTTTATAAAAACTTATAGCCTTGCATCACCCTTAAGAAAAAAAATGGCCTCAAAATGGACACAGAACCAATAGTACTACAGGTCTGATTCAAAACCACAAAGCAAAACTCAAGAAAGAAAAATATAATCATATTTAACAAAAATAAGAAGCTTGACATCAGCAATTACCTGGGTATGGAGCCAAGCTCAGTCTTTTTGAAAGAAATGCAAACATGATACCAAGATCCCCTGAAAGCTCTTAACTTGTTACCCTTATTTACAGGGTTACTTTCATTCCAATTTAGCACATACCCCACTTTAATGTCCCCACAGACCACCCAGGGGGCCATTTGGTCTGTCACCAAAGCTCAATTACATACTGCCTCCATTTCATTTGGAATTTCCAGTTTGCTCTCTCCTTTCCAAACTTCAATTCTACTTCTTTTGACTCTTTATCTGTACAAAGAAGAGAAAGAAACTAGACACTTAAGGTTACACATATTGGCAATGATTTGTAGTGATTCCAACACAAAGGAAAGTTATTTGCTTTTCAGCAATAAGGAACAAACCATTGATAAGCAAAACAACATGGATGTATTTCAAAAACATGTTGGTAAAGGATTTCAAAAGATGAGAGAGACTAGTGTTGGGAATTAAAGAACACCACCACAAAAGTGTATTTTTGGCATACTGAGCAAATTGATCCAAACAAAATTAAAAGGCCTTAGAACCTACCTCAGACTCAAGGTCCCACTGACCTTCCCTCATTTCTAACCCTCCCAGTACAAAGAAGGTTCCTCAAATGCCCTTTATCTTTCCAAAGTCCATACCCACCAAAGAAGAAACAATTACCTTTACCCTCTCCTCTGAGTTCTCATTAACCATACTCAAATCACACACACACACAAAGATTAAAGTTCTGTTACCATACCTGGACAGACTTTGTTACACACCGCTGCCGTGTAGTTCAATCCAAAGAAACTCATTTATAAATCATCTGTTCTATGAGCCAAATAGAATATTTCCAGGCCTGTGGCACACTGAGTTCTTCTAAGTCATTTACTCTTTCCCTGGAATTCTCTATTTGCTCCCACTCCTACAGAAAAATGGGGATCTAACCTTCTGAATTTGCTAGTGGGTAATCACACTCTGACACATTTTTCCCTATTTGTACATTAATGATTTTGTATACTTTCCCCAAACCCATCATTCTAAGCCTGGTGTGGTGGCACATGCCTATAAACCCAGTTACTTGGGAAAGTAAAGTACTATAGTAGGTTTGCAAATTGGAAGCCAGCCTGGGAAACTTAGAGACATCTTGTCTCAACATAAAATACAAAAGGGCTGGGGATATTCCTTAGTGATAGAGCAATCATCTAACATGTGTGAGACTCCGGGTTTAATCTCCAGCACCACTAAAGAAAAAAGAAAAGAAAAATAAAGAAAATCATCACCCAACTCTATGTGGTGTATAAGAGACGTGCTTTAGATTTAAAGACACAAACGGGTTGGATGCAAAAGGATAAATATAAATATATATATTTATATTTATATATATTTATATTTATATTTAT